CTCTCCTGTAGTGGTTTATTGAACCACAATACCGACAAGTGATTAATAAAAGTCAAAAGACCAAAGAGGTCACCTTAATACCAAAAAAAACAAAAAAACAAAATAACTTTATATTTAATAATTTTTAATACTTATAAGCTAATTATTAAAATAAAGTAAATTAAGTAGATTTCAATTTATATTATAATTAGAGATTAAAACTAGTTTTAAAAATACAAATTTATTATATAAATTTGTAATATTTTAAAAATAAATTTAATTTAATTATTATTTTTTAGTATTAAGATAAAACTTTACTTATATCTTTATTAATAATTTTAATTGTATGTTTTAATATAAAAGTGCTAAAATAAACTAAGATTATATATAACAAAATAAAAATTATATGCAAAAATAAGAGCTTAGACTAGTTTATTTGTGATCTAAATTGATCAATTAAATTTTAATAAATTTTAAAATATTACAAAATTTATATAATAAATTTGAATAATTAAAATTAGTTCTAATCTTAAATTATATCTTTATCTTGTAAAATAGTAATAGTTTACAATAATAAAATATGTGTCTGTAACAAATTTTGTATCTTTTTATAAAAAAAAAATCTTAAAAATATTGAAATTTTAATACAAGATTATTTTAAAATAATATTTTAAAACATAAGTTAAAAGTTTAATTAAAATTAAATATATTTAAACTAAATTAAATTTCTAACTTACATTTTGAAACATTATTTTAATACAGTATTTACATAAATTAATAATATAATAAATATATAAATTCTTTAGCTTAATAGTTTAATTATGCTATAATTTTATTATAAAAAAATTTTTGTATAATTGATTATTTAAATCAATTTAATTTTATATTATTTATAAATTTAAAATCCATTTAAAAAAATAAAACTACAAAGAATAAATAAAAAATAAATCATATAAAAAGAATTATTAAAGTTGTAAAACTTAACTATTAAAAATAATCAAAATCATTTCTAGTTTAGAGAAGTTAGTATAATAGCAATTTCTTAAAGATAGATAGAATTAGATTATTACTATACTAACTTTTCTAAAACAAAAAAGATTTTGATTATTTTTAATAGTAAAGTCTTACAACTTTAATAAAACTTTTTATATCCTTCTTTTTTTGTTTATTTTTTATAATTTAATTATTTTTAAAAAAGTACTTTAATCTGTATAAATAATATAAAACAAAATTGATTTAAATACTCAATTATATCTAATAATTCCAATCTAATTATCTGAACAATCATTAGAAGTGATTATGTTATATTACAGTACACCAAATATTGCATTCTGATTGGCCAATCATGGCAAATCAATATAAATCTGGTCTCTAATTATATGTAACTGTTTTTTTTATTTACATTTTTCTAATAAACTTCTATACTTTATTTTTGAAAAAAAGAAGTTTTTATAATATTTGGTAGGTTAGATTATTTTGAAAATGTTAATTGTCTTTTTCATTAAATATATTGAATATTTTTTTAGGAGCAAGAAAGTTCAGATTTGTAGTAAATAGAGCTAAATCTAACAAGCTAAGCTTAAGAACCTACATAAACTTCGCTTGTTTCTTTAAAGATAATTTTTGTTTAAGATTAATACCCAGTTAGAATGATGACAAGGTAATCTGTTATAATTTGGTTTATATGCTCAAAGCATCCCTTAGACTCTCAAAGTTTAAACTATGCTTAAAGCATCGCTTTGTGCTATTCACACTTACTAAACTTATCATTATTTCGATAACTTACATCAGTTTTTTTTCTTTTTTATGTTTAGGCTTCGCTAAAGTGGAATTGTTCTTGTAAATTTGGCCGGGTAAAGTTGCTAATAAATAGGGAATATGCCAATTTGGCGGCAGTGTCTAGTGTATAAAGTAATATTGTAGTAACTATGTTGTAACCGTCAGTCGTGAGATATTTTAATAAATTATTTTAAATATATTTATATTAAATTAAAAAAATAAAATTTATTTACTTTTTTATAAAGATGTTTTGCGAAGGTTTTTTATTTATTATCGCGCCGTTAAATACAAATCACGTTGATGTAACCCCTGTATGAGGCATGAAGTTATAATAAACGATTTAACCGTTTATAATATTTATTACTCATTTAACCATATCGATATAACATAAATAACAGGTTAAACGAATAACCAATCCCTGCAAAAATAGAGATATTATTTGTACGAAATCTTTTAACCCATTCATACGGATCCACAGGATGTAGTGATGCACTGGTTTTTGGACCGAGATCAGTTGGGAATTTTAGACTGGTTAATAATGCCCAGTCAAATTACTTGATTGAAACGCGATGTTTACATTTTTTTTTTGCCAAATCAAATTTCCCGGGTGACCACGAGTTTTTCGGATCACATGGTGATCAGCGACGAATTTAGCCAATGGGAAACCGCTTTACGTTCTAATAAAAAAAATTCTTCTATATTTCCCAAACCCACTAAATTTAACAATTTAAGAAATTCGAAAATTGTTTTGCCTATAATCGCGTGACCATAAAAATTCGTGGTCACCCATCCATACTCAAATATACGAATTATTTTATCGTTATTCAAATCGTTGATCAGAATTCTCTTTCTGTGTAATCCGTTCAAAAAAATATGCGGATAGCGGAGTAGTCGATCAATCCGTACTTATCCGGATTAGATCGATCATACCTAACCTGGTAGGGTTTCCTAATGGTTTTTTTGTAGGAGAGCAAGTGGCTTCATTTTGCACTTATAGTTCAATTTTATCACTGTTAAAAAGATTAAAACTTCCATATACATGAAAAGTTGGTTTAAAATAGAAACCAGCTATAAACTAATAAAAGCACGCCAATTCGCGTTATAAAAAAAAAATAATAATAAAAATAGAAACCATTTTTTGTACATATAAATTATACGCTTTTTTGGGTAAAATAGTTCAATTTGAATTGAAGTCATTTATATCAATAAAGTAAAATTTCTAATGTTACAATATAAAGACACCTTTTATTAAATGTTTTGCTTTTATAGAATTAATAATGTTAAATATTACGTAAGAAATTAAGGGCGAAGTAAAGCTATTTTTATAATCGTTTAATATAGCGTACAGATCCGAAAAATTTTATTAGAAAAAATCTTAGTGATCGTCACTATGTAACCTCAACTCTAGTTGTAGCCTATAGTCGTATGGTAGCCTCCGAAAGTTTGTACGTAGCTTTTTTAAATCCAACATTTAGATAAATTAGTAAGAAAAAAAAGGGGTTTATTTTCACAATACAATAATGTGTTAAATTTTATGTTTGTGTAATAGTAACAGATTTTTAGAGGTTACATAATCAACCGTTTTGAAAATTTTTGACCCGGTTGAACCGTTTTGACACGGGTGACCCGGTTTACTATAATCCGGTTCTAAATCTAACGATAACCAAATACTTGTTGTAATCTTAGTAGTTTTTGTTTGTGTTCATCATCTAAAATAGTTGAAAAAAACAATAAATGACAATTTACATCGTTAGACAAGTAAATATATAAGTTAATTTCACTAGTGAAAATAATTATCACCGGTAAGGTTACTAGAACTTTACCTTCTGTCTGACTACTTTCTGCGGCATTTCCAGCCAGAGGGACTATTTGAAATAATGTTAGTAAAAAAACCCCTGAACAATTATGATTATTCTGAAAATAACTTACATAAAGTTTTCACTTCGGCAATTACGTTAGCACGTTCCTTTTCTTCTTCTTCAGCAGCAATATTTGCAAGGCCACGACGTATATAACTTTGGAAGTATGGGCCAGTTTTGGATAAATGTGACGTAACTTTACTCTCCATTTCGGGATGTTGTTTTTGAAATTCATATAATTCGTAAATACCCTGATATAAAATTATAAAATAATTAGATTAGGAATTTTTAAATAAAATTCGTCCAAATTATACTAACCTGTTTTGTTTCTTCTCGAGTTCCAATTTTAAGGAAAATTTGTGTTAATCGTGAATTCATTTCTACTTCATGTGACCCCGAAGAGCGGCTGTTGTTAGTTGGCGTGGGAAATCGTGGTGTCATAGGGGAGGCCGGACTGGCCGGTTCCGAGCTATTATATTGAGTTTCGTTAATTTGTCCGGGAACTTCTGGTATCGGTGAGCCTCTCGCATGCACTTCATTTATTTGTTTTGGAGTAGGCGACTGTTGAATTTGTTCACGTGACGAAGAAACTTGTGCGGCCTCGAAATTTGAAAAAGTAGCGTCGTTCACAACTGACTTTACGGAGCCAATTGATGATGGACGGCTTGGTGAATTATCGAAAGGTACCTATAGATAAGATAAATGATATATTAAAACAATAACATTCTTTCCATATGAACAAAAACTTAATAGCGAAAAAGCTTAAACTACATTTGTATTAGTTGGTTGTTTTTCTTTTTTACGGCATGCTTCAAGCATATGATGTAAATAGGGATATACATAGCTACGCTGTGGATCGTCAATGAGATCTAGATGATCAAATACATTCTCGCCGAGGCCTGTTACTAATTCAACCAGTAATGTTTTTACGGTACGAAGGGGCATTTCGCCCAATGGAACTTTTTCCGAAGCTCGCCTTTTCCATTCAGCTGGTGGTATAGCAAGGAAAAAGTTATTAAGATCCCTTAATAACTTATTTGGCAAAAGAATGCCGGATTTTAGGTTTTCCTGTACTGATCGTGCCAATTTCCATAAGCATTTCATTATTAGTTCTGTGAACTTTGTATGAGTTGTAGCCGCAGCGGCATCTACTTCTCGCAGGTTTGCTGATGATTTTTCTAGAATAGATATTAAAGCACTAATGTAAAAAGAATAACAATGCATAAATAAAATATCTAAACGTGTAATTATTCAGTAAATAAGAACATAAAGGTACCTATAAGTTGCATTACGATTACTATTTTCGAGAACTTTCACCATTGAAACATTCAAAGCTTTTGATAATTGTTGGCCTGCTTCCAATACTTGAAGATTTAGATCCAAAAGACGATGAGCAAGCTCTGACAATAATCGCTCAAGTGATTCTTGTGAAACAGCCAATGCCAAATTCTTATTTGAAAACAACAGAACTAAAGCATTCACAAGGTGTTTGCACAGTCGAACAAGGATTTGTGATTGTGGATCAAGTTGTGTGTATGACATTCGTACTTGAATAGTTAGAGCATTAACAAGTTCATCGACATAAGGAATAATTGATTCAGGAGAAGTGTTTAAATGTTTATCCAGCTCTTTCAATGCTTCAATACTCTGTTGATGTTCAAAGCTCATAATTTTAGATATAGCTACTTCTACTAAAAAGACATTGCCACGTTCAGAAGTACGCTGTCTAGCTGGTGCTATTCCAGATGAATTTACTACTGTTGAACTTTCAGAATTGGTGGCTGCTGAATATTCAAATTTATCAATGTCCATACTAGTATATTCTTTCTTTTGGCCATTATCATCGGAATTATCATTCTGTAATGATGTTTGCCCATTCGGTCCCTGACGGAACCGTGAGAACTGAAGACGAGAAGGTGCAGGTAAACCCCTGCCTATTCCACTTGGAGGTAAACCGCCCCTTTGAGCTGGTGATGGAAGTTTGTTTGGAGGAATTAATGATGATGGCGGACCATTATTGGTACCCAACGAATGTTGTCCATTGGGAGGAACTAAACCTGAAGCATCATTTGCTGAATTAGGATGTGACATGGCAACAGATCTAGTTGGTATACCCTGTGTGGAGCCAGCCGGTGGTCTGAGTTTTAATCCAGGTGGTAATTTTGGTGCATCGTCTTCATCCACATCATCAGAAGCATCAGTTTCACTATTTTTACCGTCTTTCGAACTTGATGGCACAGCAAGTCTTGATTTTGTTCCTAATTTTTTAGAATCTTTCCCTCTTGGAAGAGGACCTGTTCCATGTGCTGGTCGAACTGCTTCAATCATTGGCATTATAGTTTGTTTTACGGCTCCCTTAAGATCTCCACATTTCGTTACCACAAAATCATAACCAGCACTTTTTACGACAGGTCCTAAACATGATTGTGCAGCTTTCCTTACATCCCCATTGCGATCTTGTAAGCATGACAACATAGGCGGAACTAATATTTGTAAATCTGGTAAATGGTTTTTTTCATCCGCTTCTTTGAGACGATCAGAGAGCCAACTTAATAAATCTTTTCTCAATAGAGGGTTTTCAGTAGCAAGACTGGTTGCGAATGAAGAAATCATAGGATCAAGACCAGTAGCAGACGCCAAGCACTCCAAACAACCAATAGCACTACCACGTACGGTAGCCTTTTGATCTGTTAGCACAGCTATCACAGGAGCGACTAACATTTTTACGTATCTATCGAAAGGCTTGCCCATGGCTGTTGCAAGCTTGCCACAAATGTCCAGTGCCATCATTTGAAGATTCTTATTGCTATCAGCAAGGCGTGATTTAAGAATTGGTGTAAATTCACCTAATTTGAAATAGTTATTTAGATATATGATTTTACATAATAAAGGGTGCAAGACAAGTACCTAAGTTTGGCTTAATTCTCTTGTTAGCATCTACAATAGCAAGAACTTGTTCAAGAGCATCTTTTCGTGTTTTCCATTTATCATCATTAGCATCCTAAAATAAACCATTTTGCAATGTGATTGATAACTCAATAAGTACCGAATTTAAATTTTTATTAAATCTAATACTAACTGTCATCATTTTGCTAGTAAATTGTGCGCCGATATCAACTTTTGGGAAAAGCTCTTCCAATGCGTCATTTCCACCGCGCCCTGAACTTGTCACTTCGGCCTAATTGAATTTATATATTGAACATGAGAATATTGTAAAATATGCATATACAGTCAGCTCTTTCTATACCGAACCCTATATTCTGGCCCAAAAAAAGTTCGTTGTATAGAATACTATGTTTTCTTAAGAGCTGTAGCCCTTATTATACCGAACTAATATAAAATTTAGAAATTTTGAGTTCGTTATATCCAGAGTTCGTTATAAGAAAGGTTCGATATATCCAGAGTTGACTATATTTATTTCCTTATATTCATATACTTTATTTTACATACACTTGTTTTTATAGGCTGCGGAGGGGCCTGGTCAGCAACTTTTTCGAATTCAACATCAATGGTAGCAAGTTGCGTAGGATTTAAATCCTGAACAAATGTCCTAATATCTACATATTGAGATAATCCAATTAGTTCTTAAACCTTTCGCTTAAATTTTAATAAAAAAAATAATCTAAATTTACCTGGACCGACATAAATCCTCAATGCTCCCAAAACAGTGACAGCATTGGTACGGACAGCTGCGTTAGAACTTGATAATGCGAACTTGATGAAATCAATCAATTCCCGCACTTGAACTCCAGCGATTCCGAATTCCATAATGGCACCATGAAACCATGTTAAACTATCAGCCAATACTTTTGGAGATTTAGCCTTCCGCAATGGATCATAGGCTAAATAAATAAAGCCAATCTAAATTGATTGGGAATTCACAACTATAAAACCATCACATAAAAGCAAATAAAACACTAACATTGTCCAAGAACGAATTGCAGAGATATTTTTTCAGTAAATGCTGTTAAAGTTTCTCCAGCGCACTTTTTGAGTTTAATGTCACCCAATTTTTCCAATAATACTATAAAATTTCATTATTTAATGCAATATCAACATAGGAAATGTAAAATCATTTTTTTACAACGGGTAAATTACCAGGAATAGCAAGTGCTGCCGTTGGCTTCCCAAACGATGGCGTCTTGGAACTGAGCAGTTCCAAAATATTGAATGCTTTGGTCAGCACCTAAACAGTAATTTTTATAATTATCGTAATTGTTATGCTAAAAATTTTATTATTAGCAAGAAACCTAACACTAACCTGAAAATTGCTTTCTTTCCATCCGGGTTTTTTTGCAAGAAATCGAACTACTAGTTCTGCTTCAACAGTAGAAGGGTCCATCTCATTTAACGTGTCATAAAGAGTTTCAATTGCTAAGTAATAAGGGAAACTATAAGTAATAATCATTTAGTTATTTTATGAAATAGTGGCTAATAAATTACCTGCTAAACGATTCTTCCAATTTTTGTCGCCTAATCCAGCGGTCTGTTCTTCTGGAACTATGTCTGCAAATTTCTCTTCAACTTCTTCATTTGAAAATCTGTACCTCAATGGTTCTTCTTCCTTGGTTTTTGCACCTTTTTTCGATGGCGCAGCAGTAGCTGATGGTTTCGTACCTTTTTTGGGGGGTTGTGCTGCAGTTTTGGAGATTTTTGGAGGTTCTGCAGCTTTTTTTGGCTCGGTATTCTAAAAACACGTAATATTATAGCACAGATCTAAATACTTTGTCCGCATATTTCAAAATCAAACTTACCTCCTTTTTTGTCGTAGCTTTAGATGCAGGTTTGGCTTTAGGTGTTTGGGTGGTAGCAGGCGGCGGTCTCTTTGCCGTAGTAGCTTTGACTTTGACCTCGGCCTTTTCGAAGAACTCTTTAATTTTACTTTTTTTTATATCATCAAGTCCTTCTATAAAAGGATTCATAGCTTTTTCCCCGATAACTTTCATCATTGTACCGAGACCTTCTGCAGCAGAAATACGAACAGGCTCAAAACTATCTTCAGAAGCTTTTACCATCATTTCGATCAATGATTTGATTTCTGCTTTATTGGGGGCTATTTTGGTATTCTTCAAGCATCTAACTAGCCATTTCATTGTTTCTGATTTTACCTGCGGATTCTTATGCTTCCCTGCGGCTACGATATCTTCGGTAACATCAGAAATAGTGACCTTTTCGCATTTTGGAAGAAAAACTTTTAATATAAATGTAAATATTATGATAACATTAAAATATTTAATTTTTTTACAGTAGAGAATATCGCATCCAAAGCAGCTGCTAAAGCATCTACGACACTCTGTTTCCTTTCTTTTAGTTTCTCTATCAACGGACCTGTAACCTGGAATCAAAAAATGTAGGGTTCAATATTTGATAAATATAAATCATAGCAAGTTAGTGAGGAATTTACCGTTTGTTTATGCTTTGCAAATGCTTCACGCAATCCTAATGCTAACGCTTCAATAATATTTGCAGCCAACGTTACTACTAATATATTTGAATCTGAAATTCGCTATTAATTTGACAGAAAAAAAAAACATTACGAAATTTAGATCATATTTTCAAACTATTAAATAATATCCAAATAAACTATACTATTATACCTTAGTAAGCGCTGCAATTAATTCTCCATAATTATTATCCGCAATCCTCGGCGTTTTACAAATTTCAAGTAGACCATCTAATGCTTCTTTTCTATCTTTCCACTTTGTGGCTTGCTAGATGCACATATTAATATGAGACTTTGTCTATATTAAAATTTGACTAAAATCTTATTGACAAAGTTTTATATCGTACCAATTGTGTATAAAAATCTTTTGGCATTTTTGACAGTACATCAACAGGCTCTGCTAGGTCATAAACGTCTATTTCTTTTTCTTCTTCCGCTTCAGCTTCTTCATCTATTAGATTATACATTAAATCCACATTCTGACTATATGTGATAATTTATGCACATCTATTTAACAATTTACCTTTTTCAGCTCCCACTGTCTCTTTCTGTGATCGTAAAAATCGTTGTTGTGTAGCTTTTTCTTGTGGTAATTTTTCAAAGGCTTCGTTCAATTCTTTAACCTGACAGAGAAATTTTAGTAGTGTAATAAGGAAATGGTTGATATTTTAAAGACATTTACCTGAACTGGTTTCAGTTCTTGTAGATGTGGATTAATTGCTTGGCCTAACCATTTATAAAGTTCTATTACTAATTGCGTACCCTATATGATAAATAAATAAATGTGTTTGCGTTTGTAAATAAAAATCATGTTTGTATAATATTTTTCACATTCATAATTAGTTGAATTGAATTACCTCTGCTCTAACGTTTTTATCGGTATGACCAAATATTTTTGGTAGGGTTTTTAGAATAGGCTTTATGTTAACAGTTTTTGCCCCATATAATCTAAATGTATAAATAAATTGTCCAGTAAAGAACTATAAATTAAGAATTAATATGCATTATCCAACCACTAACTACCTTATTATTTCTTTAAGTGCAAAAACAGTCATAGAAACTATTTTAGGTTGTTTGGCGTTTAACCCCCCCAGAACATCTTCCTATAAATATTAAAAATAATAAATAACTAATAATAACAATTAAACTGATAGAGCATTAATACTAACCACGACCGGATCAGGCACGTCCACCTCAATGTATGTAAGGATGAGTTCAACTGCTTTATTCTTCGTTCCGGTACGGGAAGAACCCAAACCTTTCTCAACGATGGCAGGTATGATAGAAGACCTAATCCTACAAGAGCAATGATTAAAAAATTAAAGAGTCAAACGTACATATATAATTCGATGTCGAAAAGGACGCGAAAAAAATCTTAATTAGTCTTTAAAAGTTAAAAAATAAACACTTGCTTTATCGGATTAGGTGCATTTTCAACATAAGCCTGTAGTGTTGACAAGCCAGTCTCTTGAGCAACAGCGTTAGCGTCTGTCGCAATGTTTTTCATAAAACTATCATAAGGCCGAAACTCGCTTTCGTTTGATGGATCCGCTTGTGAGAATTTTTTTGTAAGTTCTTCATATGCAGCAACTCTAACTTTCCAGACCTATTATAACAAGGACGTTAAAGAGATTATTAACCTTGTATACTTTTCTTTAAACGTGGATTAAAGTAAATAGTTCACACCTTATGTGTAATTCGCTCAGTAAGAGGTAGTGAAGAGTAATCTTCCTCGGGAGTCGCCATTTATGTAATAACAATGGAAGACGCGGGTTCTTTGATGTATTTAAGGGTGTAAGGCTGGTGTCAGGTCTTTAAACTTTATAGGTTTCAAATTTTCAAAATATTGGGACATCACGGAATTTAATGATGTAATTCGATTTATTCCGTTTATGGCAATATGCATTATGATTAGTAGGGAAACACTAGGGAAACACAGGAAACACAGGTTTCCGGTCCGCTTTAGCATAACTTCTTGAATACCGATTTTAATCACCGTCTTAACGTTAAGGCTTATTTTTCCTTCTTTTTTTTAATATTTTACATCAGAAAATGCCTCCGATCAAAGGTGTTGTAATATACTCGATATACTTTTATTTTTTTAAAAAGACTTTGATATCCGTATTTACACAATTTTAAAACAGTGTATGTTAAATGGAAGGGACAAAGTTATGAGGTAGAACTTGATACTGATGCGTCAGCCAGTGATTTCAAGGCTCAACTCTACTCCATAACTGATGTTGAGCCCAGCAGGCAAAAGATCATGATTAAGGGTGGAATTTTAAAGGTTTGTTTGAAAAAAAAGAATTTTTGAAATGATCCGATCATTCTAACGATTTAAATATAGGATGATACCGATCTTAACACACTCAATATTAAAGAGGTAGGAATTTATTATCGTTTGCTTAGTTTAATGAATAATAATTTTAACACATATTGATATTTCCATTTTTTTTTTTTTTTTTTTTTTTTTGTGCGACAAAAAGGGGACTACAATTATGGTATACCAATTAATCCATCTTTATATCACGCCATTTTAAGTTTGTTTGAAGCTTTAATATTATTCAGATGATGGGAACGCCTGGAGAATTACCCAAAGAACCAGTTGAAAAGACACGATTCATAGAAGATATGACAGATAGGCAACTGGCAGAAGCTGTAAGATAGTCAATTTATATATTATCAGACATAGGTTATTTTGATGTTTCTTGCATACTGAATTCTTATTTCAATATGATTATAATACAAATGAAAATAGTTAAAGTTACCATCAGGTCTGAAAAATTTGGGTAATACTTGCTACATGAATTCTACTTTACAGTGTCTCCGCACCATACCTGAATTACAAGAATCGCTAAACAAGTGTGTATGAGTATAAAATAAATGGGCGATGTCAAAGGAAAACCTGTAAATCCGAATTTCAGTTTTCATTTTACCGGAATCAACCCTGAAGGATTAACTCATATCATCATCACATTCCATCATTTCGGTAACCTGGAGGCACGTGAAATTGCGTGTAGATTATGAATTAAATTCGTTATCATTAATGAAACAACTATAAATCTACTCAGTAGTCATGTGTTTTAGTTACATATATTATAATATCTTCAGGGGCTAGGTCCGACAAAGTGAAAATCAAATTTGATTTACAGGTTTTCCCCTGGAGCCACCTAAACGCAGTTGAATTGTCACAGGCGGGTAATTTACTATACTGCTTTATATATACAGATTTTCTAACAGTAATACGAGCTCAGATATGCAGATAAATCTTACAGCTTCTTTACGTGATCTTTACCAACAATTGGGTCGAACCACAGAAAACTGTGTACCGTTTGCTTTCGTACAGGTTTGCTACCAATTATCCAAAATTCACAATCGTAAAATAATTTATAATTATTTGAAGTTTCGTATAATTGATAGGCGCTCAGAAGTTCCTTCCCTCGATTTGATCAACGTAACGCTAGCGGTTACTTGCAACAAGATGCTGAGGAATGTTGGACTGAAATTGTTACTAGTTTGAATAATGCAAATCTTTCGGTATCTGAACCAAAAGTATCAGAAGAGCCATCACTAAATTTCGTTAAGCAGTACATGACAGGAGAATTTACTTCGATGTATGAATTGACCTAGTTTAAAGTTAATTTTCGATTTCAAATTAGGCAATATTATTAATTCGAACATTAGTTTAAAGTGCGTTGATGCACCAGAAGAACCGACATCTACCACTAAGTTGACTTTTACGAAGCTGAGCTGCATTACTTCCGAGAAAGGTACATATACATACGTATATGTATCTTGAAATTAAATATTTCAGTTATTATTATTTATAGACAAAATGCATTGTACTCATTTAATATTTAAATTTAGACATAAGTTATATGCAAAATGGCATATTAACGGTACGAATTCGAGCATAATAATTTGATTTAATTTTGTTAATCTATATTCCTCAAAATTATTATCATTTTTTTAATTAGGCCTTAGATGAGAACATTGAAAAAAATTCGCCCAGCTTAGGTCATATTGCCAACTACACTAAAATTTCGCGTATTAGTCGCCTACCTTCATACCTTACAGTTGGATTTGTAAGATTTTATTGGAAGAATGATCGCCAAATTAGAGCCAAGATTACGCGTAGAGTCCAATTTCCTTTTGATTACGATGCATATGAGTTATGCACAGATGAATTAAAGCAAAAGATTGGGCCATTGAGGTCATATATTCTTGAGCACGAAAAAGAAAAGGATGTGGCTAAGGTTGAATATTTTATTCGCAATTCAAACAAAATATGTAATAGATACTCATTTATTCCGTTTCATAGCGTAAAGCAAAGCTTGCAAAAAATTCCGGTGAAAAGGAAACGGCCGAATCTAAAAATGACAGTAAAACTAACGAAGTTAATGATGAAATCAAAAAATTGATTGATCCAGATTTGGAGAAGGATATTGGTGCTAACAAGTCAGGATTATATGAGCTTTGTGCTGTACTTACTCACATTGGACGGTCAGCAGATTCTGGTTAGTATCATATATTATCAGAGATGTCATGTTACAATGTCCAATTGGTTTCATTTTTTTTTGGACATATGTCCAAAAAAAATTGAAATCAATTGGACATTGTAATGTGACATCTCTGTATATTATCCATACTTAACTCATCACTTTTTGATCCTTTATATATGTTTAATTTAGGACATTACATTGGTTGGGCACGTAAACATGATTCTGGTAAGTATCTTTCAAATAAAAGGCAACTACTATAGCATTTATTTACTCTATTTATGATTCATGGGCAAACTACTCTTTCAGCTGAGGACTGGGTCAAATATGATGATGATAAAGTCTCAATCGTACCACAAACAGAGATTCAGAAACTTGACGGCAGTGGTGGTAGTGCGTATTAAAGCAATTTATTTTTGTTACTTTCGCAACAAATACTGTAAATTAATCTGTATACTTAATTTACTATAGGCGATTGGCATATTGCATACATTCTTCTATATCGGTCAAAGGAAACTGTCTGAAATATATAGTAGTTTGTTATATAGTAAATCTGTTGTGATATGATGTATATTTTCAGATTTTTTTATAAGAATGGAGTGTCTGTCAGCTGAAATGATCCATTCTTGTGGATTCGTATCATACGAACAAAATTACTTTTTGTTATATAAAATTTAGTTTTGTTCAATTGTACGTACATATGTACGTGCGTCCTCTGTAAAATCACATGGTTGTTTCCACAATTATATACATCAGATTTTGATCGAATGAGAATAACTTTGTAACCATATAAACATAAAACAAATTGTTAGTAGATATTGCCATTGTATTGAGCATAAACAGCACTTGCACCTCGCATTTCCGTGCAACACTTTAGTTATAATCTTGCAATTTAAGTGATACAGTTGGCATTCATCATAGTGAAGATATTCGTAAAAATTCATTATAACGAGTTTGCATACAGTCGTTCCTCCATATAGTCACCTTTCATATAATCACATCATTGTTCGAGCGAAGCGACGGACTCATACTTCTATGCGTTTTATCTTTTAGTAAGACTAGTTAGCACATTATATAGCAAAATTATCAGCTGGGCATTTTTTATTTAATGAATGGCTATGGTTTCATTAGTAAAATTTTTAGTGAAATTGATTACTTCTATTACAACATATGACATATTGTAATACCCACTACTTATATTACGATTTACGTTAACGTTAATATTACAAAAGTTGCAACTTCAAAATGTCTGCGCATGATCTAACGTAGGACTTGTTTAATAATACTGTAATATGATTGGATAATCAGTAGGGTGATTAATTTAAGGAATTAAATTAAAAAATTTTAATATTCATGGGTTTGTGGTATGTTGGTGAGGACGTTTCCGGTAGTAGCGGTCGAGGGTTCGATAACAGTTACGGTCAGAAATGATAACGGTAACGGTCGAACGTTCGATGACAGTTACGCGCGGAAAAGTTCGAATCTGATCATAAATCCCATACATTTTTTGTTCAAAGGATATCAACAGAACTATTAATTTTTCGTTAATTTTATTTTGGGTTTAATTGTTTTGTCATGTATCCTATATGATTCATTGCTCGCTGCATAAATATACGTTAGCGAACGGTCAGCTAGAGTACATGTAGATCATTTGTCATATGATTTGCGCAGTAAATTTAGATTTACATAGTAAGCAAAAATATGGTACTAATAAAATTTTTTAAAAACGTACCAAAATTTTATTAAATTTATAAAATATATAAATTAAAATGGTTTATTTATTATAATAAAAAATTATAATATATATAATTTTAAAAAAAAACTATACTTGTATATATCGTAAAGGTCTCGGTGGTAACGTTCTGATTGGTTGATTATCATATGATTATCATATGATTTTTATAATAGATTTATAATACCAAATCTTTAAATAAATCTATCTCAACGAATTATACTATCATTAGAATCATAAAAATCTGCTTTACAACTTTACTTAAAAGTTTAAAAACAGTTAAGTTAGTGAAAATATTTTTAAATACCAAAATAAAAAAATTTACGATTAAAGTCATATGACAAGTGATCTGTGTAGTCTACCTTTAAACACGAATTAGTAAGATCGATACATTTGCTTTAGCCATCAAGAAAACTTAGTTCCTCATTCTTGATTTATAATTTAATTATAATATTCGTAACAGTAAAACAAATCCAGGCATATGATTATGGCCGGTTTGCATTTTGGCAAATATT